AGTCGACTAATCGCAAAAATAATCGGTGACTAGTCGACTATCAAAATAATCGTTTGTGGCAGCCTTACTGTACTATGGGGGGTTTTTTTGCAGCCTGAGGAGTCAATTTACCAGTATTAAATTGTTTAGTGGCTTGTGGCGTTTTATGTCCAGCTTCTTGTCAGTGACCTACAGAACATTATTCATCTGGACCTGAGAACATGAGTGAATTAATAAACACAAACTAGTACTGTTCCCACAAGTCTAGATTGAGTGCTGTAGAATGGATCTGATACATAATGCAGAAAGGATTTCTATAGTAATTGCTCTTTGACAGATGGTGAGCGATGCCGTCAAGCAGAGTTACTGCTTGAGTAAGTGTGAGTGTGAGAATCTATATTTTTCTCCGTGTGTAAAAGTTATTTATACACAAAAATGCGGTTAAAACATGTATTTGTGCTAAATGGCTCATTTTAATTTACACTTTTACTTAGACCACAACTTCACATGGTGCTGTGAGGGAAGGTACAGTGAACTAACTTGCAATGAAGGGCACATTCACAGGGCTGACGTCAGGGACAGCTGAGGAAAGCAAATCAGGGAACTAATGTATTAAAATGATATGCCGCTGCTTTGTGATGCCGCCATTATCACAGGCAATGTATTGCAATGCTATTGTCTTAAAATGTAGTTGTTTTATGATTGCCAACCATACTGGACATGTTATCATGTTTGTCTGGTTTCTTTGAAAAACGAATCCCCTTGGATGTTTTTCATGTCTGCGTAGTTGTCTTCCTGTTTTTGCTTAACCTCAGGAAACATTTCAGCTGTTTGGAATGTTTGCATCAGTTGTTCATTTTCTTCATTTTTGCTCAGCAAGCAGATGTGGTGCCAATGTTGAAGGCTAGGTCAGGGCTGGGCAGCTTTGCCAAGTGTAAAGTTTCACCTGTTGCGTTGACAAATGTTGTCCGTCTTTGCAAACTTGCAGAGGTGCAGAGGCGAGTCTCCATATGGTTCCTGAAAGACTTGACCCAAGACCCAGCTTTCAGTTCTCTCCCAAGCACACACACATGTGCACAAGCATGCACACTTATATTCTGTGTCACTTTTTTGCAGGCGGGAGGAATGTTATAGATTAACCCAGAGGAAGTCCGCTTGCGGGCCACTGCTTACACAGGGCCCCAGCTCACTCTGGTCTGGACAGTGTCCTACAGTTAGCCTGGCTGCAGGCGGCACACAACGCAGGAAACGCCTCTCTGACTTCTGTATTTTTATTTGAATTCTTTTCTATTATTATCCACTATTCTGCAGCTTGTCTTCTTTTCCTTGTCTTTCTTGTTCTTTTTGCAGTTTTACTCTACTCTTCAAGTTCACCTACAACATATACGTGGCTTCTTTAACACCAGTCTACACTGTGTATTTATAGTCTTAGGGACACTCTTCCCTGGTTTTAGAAAATAATTTTTGCTCAGAGCATTGTAGCTCTGCCCTAGAAATGTCACTGATATTTCCAAGTTAGCTGTGTAGTCCTTGTAATATTTTGAGAATCTTTCTGGCCCAGAGCCTGTGGTGCATGGGACATTTAACACCCTGGGACGCCTATGATGAATCTGTCTTCTGCTTTAGTGACAAGCACTGGTGCTCTTGAGGTTTTTTATGGGTGCTCTTGAGGTTTTTGTAAACATCCTGCTTGTCACGATCTCCTGCATTTAGAAAAAAAGAGGAAATGCTGTCTAAACCAGCCAACAGTTGCCAATAGGAAAATGTTCAGATGAATGCATACAGATATTTTGTACAGGCCTGCAAGGTTATTTTGATAATAGTATTGAAGTATGAAATTGTTTTGGGGGCAAATAGATCTTTCTAAACAAAGAATGTCTCATTTAGCTCCTGAATTTTCACAGCAGCACAACAGCTTGGCTTGGAAGTAATGGGTGGTTAACCGTGTAGTCTGAATGAGCCACATTTCAGTCATTCTTTTGTCTGGCACAAAAAAAAAACTGCTTTAATGGGAATTTTGTTGCATTAAATACAACAAAAAAACCAAAAGACCTTAGGTTGCACTAATTATTCTAAAACGATATAAATAGTAAATCCTCTTTAACTCTGTAAAGTGAATTTTACTCCATGATATGTACAATCTGGCACAAAAGTTAACCAAGGAATACCTCCGTTATAACCATTACTTTATAATTTTTCATTTTCATTCCCTAATTTATCTGAACTCTTATTTCCATTGGTTTACTCAGGAAAGACCAGAATCTGCTGTCACCAGTCAACTGTTGGTACCTGCTGCTGAACCAGGTTAGGAGGGAGAGTAAGGACCACGCAACACTGAGTGACATCTACCTCAACAATGTCATCATGAGGTTCATGCAGATCAGCGAGGACTCGACACGGCTACTCAAGAAGGTGAGGGCACAAAAGGCAAAGTAGTTTTTAGAGTTGAGGCAGTACACACACACACACACACACACACACACACGCACTAAAGAATGGAAATAAGGTGGCATCTGCTCTTCACACCTGAGACTACGTCCACACTAGCCTGGGTGGATTTGAAAACGGCATTTTTGTCCGCGTCCACACTAGCGTTTTCAGTCGTTTTCACAGAGTTGTGCGTCCACACTGAAACAGCACAAAACGCTTCCAGTCCTGCGCATGCGTGAAAGCGAGTGAGAATTAAAGAATTTGAAGAAAAGCTACCTGGAGCATGTACAGACTGATATTAATCTTTTTTCAGGGCTGTCAAAATTGAGAGCAAACAAAACAACTGCTGTATAACGCCCTCCGCTGTCTTTGTTTATTGGTCACATGACTGCATCACATGACTAAAATGCGTCATCGTTTTAGAAAGTCTGCGTTTTCGAGTGTCCACACTGCGACGGGGCAGCTCCGTTTTGAAATGTATGCGTTTTCGAGAGCGTTTTCAAAACGCTGCGTTTTTCCTTGAGGAAAACGGCGTCTCAGTGTGGACGGGAGGCCAAAGCGGAGAGAAAACGATGCGTTTTCAAACGGAAACGCATTAAAATGGTAAATGGTCTGTATTTATATAGCGCTTTACTTGGTCCTAAGGACCCCAAAGTGCTTTACATATCCAGTCATTCACCCATTCACACACTGGTGATGAAGCTACATTGTAGCAACAGCCGCCCTGGGGCGCACTGACAGAGGCGAGGCTGCCGGACACTGGCGCCACCGGGCCCTCTGACCACCACCAGTAGGCAACGGGTGAAGTGTCTTGCCCAAGGACACAACGGGGCTCGAACCGGCAACCTTCTGATTACAAGACGAACGCCTAACTCTTGAGCCACGATCGCCCCATTAGTGTGGACGTAGCCTAAAAATGACTTTTGAGTCTTTTTATTTGTGCTATAAGAATTGCAGCAGGTGTTTTTCATTTAGTTTTCATTCATTTCCTTTATGGTTTAAAGGGAAAAACTTGTTTTTTTAAAACAAAGAAAATCAGCACAATTTCTTTGCAAATTTGCAGGAATTCATGGCACTTTTCAGCCTTGTTTATCGTACAACTGTATAACAAAACACTCATGTACTTGATATATAACACAAATGACCTTTTATAAGTTAATAAATTAGTATTTTTCTCTGCATCACCCTTTCCTTGTCTACTTAAATTCTCATAGTCTCATTTTGACTGCTTTTGAAGGTTTTTTTGTTCATTATACCGATGTTTGACCTCTGCTAGAAATGGGTCACATGTGCCTTTTTCTTTGATCAACAAAACGCTCAAAGTCACCACTAACATGATCCAGATTCTTCGTAGCGGTCACATTGGGCAGCAGTGTCTCCAGGCCCTCATGTTATATAAACAATCTTTCACTTTTAATGCATCCATTCATTCAAAAACAGTGTATATTTAGTTGCATGATATGCAGGATATATATTCAGCATTGCGTTTGATGGTATGATGGTCTGTGGCGCTCCCGTGGTTTCGTTTTGTGAATTAAGAGTAATGCGCTGGGAGCTCGGTCACCAGTCTTTCAGATTCAGAACGTCTTCGGTCTCTCATGGTTTTATGACCAAAACCAATCTGCTGCATTTTCTACCACAAAGCTGACGACTCCCTAACAGATTATGAGCTCCTATGTTGCAGGAGTCACATGAACTCACCGCAAACCTAAATTACAAAGTGTCTTTTCTTCAGAGGAGCGCCTTTGTGTCATTTTAGCTTGCACAACCTTTTTATCCTTTCTCTTTTTATGCTCCACTTTCTTGCAAACCTCCAAGATCTTATCTGATTAAAAAGAAGGAAACATTTATTTTTTTAAATTTGGTCTTCAAAGCAGTATAATTTCTTGGTTTTTAAATGATTGCCTTGAACCCCCAGCAGACTCACAGGAAGCTGCAACACTCATTTCCCTTTAAAGGGCTCTGGTTCTACTAACGAGGCCAGATGTGAAACAGACAGTATTTTCTCAAAGTTTTGTCTTGTTGCGAATACCGGGGGAAATTTAAAACAAGAATAATCATGAAAACTATTCGTATATAAATATGACTTTAATCCATTTCAATGTGCTGGCAACTCCTTTGTTTTATTTATTACAAATAAGAGCATATAAAATGTGCGATTTGTGTGATTTCCGTTTCTCAGCATCACTGCAGAGCTACTCAATATCAGAGATGTAAGAAGTCACTTTAATATTCGTGCAGGACTGCAGGGTGTCATCAGTCAGGAAACGGTGATGTTTGGACTTCATGTAGTTGATGTCTGAGAAAACCTGCTCACATGTGGATCCAAAGATGACAGATACGGAGATACATTTGTCAAAAAAAGGGTTGCAAATGCACACAAAATTTGAATTTATTTATTTAAAAGGGACAGTGCAGTTAAACATAGTTCAAGTGCAAGACATGAGACTGATGTACCGGTTTATAGCTACTGCTAATTTTCAACAATTGTCCCTTGTTGGGCTTACAATCTAAATAAATACATATTACAATAAAACATACATTTTCATAAAACCAAATTACATCATAAATACAATTACAATTGATAGACAATAATTTAAAATAAAATTAAAATCATCAGATAAAATGACTACAACTTTGGTTTCCCTTTAACCTTCAATGTAAAAGATCTAATGTCTGTAATCAGTTTGATATCGGTTGGAAGTGTGTTCCACAGATGGCAGGCCTTTATAGAAAAAGCTGACTGACCGAATGTAGATCTGCGATATAATATCTTGCAGTTGATCCACAACTGTAAGCTAAGCTTTGCAAATGTGTACAATGACCTTTTGAGGACTCACACGCACGTGCTTCAATCCACACACAAAACAAAAAGCCACCATGTAAAACTATTTTACAGATGCAAACATCCAAACCTGAATAAATACGAATCATTTATGCACAATTTATAAAGTTCAGCTTCACGAAGGCGATCATTTTCACTTTCAAAAAACCTCCTGTGTATACAGAGTCTAAACCTACACGTAACATGTGGGCGAGCGCCTGATACGCTGATACGTCACACAGGGAAGGTTGTGCCTGTAACATTTAACATTTTCTTATTTTAGCCACAGCCGAGGAGCGAAAGAGCCGCGAGTCACCGACCTCTGTCCTGGCTTAACTTACTTTCACAATCATAATGATAGACTACTTTCAATGATGATACATATTTCTAGTGCAGCTCAGAAACTCCTCACAAACTGTGGAGTAGTGCAGTCCTGTCATTACTCCACCTGCATCCCCATCACTGCTGTGGAATCTGCAGTATCGAGCCACTTTATAGACTGTCCTTTTAAAGTTGGCATTTACTTTGTGTATCCAGGTGACATTGCGCAGACAAGAAGCAGTCTGATGGGAGGTCCCAGCTCATTGGAGACCCGAGACACAGCTCGCACTCTAATTAAAGCTTCCCCGAGCCTTTGATCTCAGCAGAGCTTCAATAACGAGGCACAAACAACAGAGAAGTCCCCCATGTTACGTGGACTCCCTCACAGCTTTGAGGAGACAGCTGTACTCTTGTCATCCTTCCACCACATCAAAGACCCGTGTTTATATTTCCTTGTATGTTCAGGTTTCATGCTGCGAGGTGCAGCAGCGGAGGAGGGACCACATAGTGGCCATATTGTCTTCGTCAACATCCTCTGGTTGCTGTTCGGCGTGTGCATTTATTTCTTTAGTTCTGCACTGTGGTCACTTAAAAAGAAACCAAGGCTTTCTTTAGAAGCACCACATTTTTTCCTCTTTTTTTTGTGTGTGTGTTTAAACGCAAGACTCGAGTAGCGAGCTTTTTCTGTCTTTATGCTTGGAAAGATCTTCTCACATGTTAAGTTTTCATTATTCATACAACTGGCTCTTTGTTTTGCTCTGCCCTGTTTTATTCATGAAAGTGATATTCTGTGGCAGCAGCTACATGGTGGATTTCCTAGAGCTCGAGGCACTTTTGAACTTAAAGCAACACATAAGTTTACAAAAAGGTGTAAATATTGAAAGAATTCAAGCTGAATCTATTTAACTGATTTGGTGTAATAACAAAAAGTGTAATATCCCAGAATCCACTACCAGCACCTCTAATATGGTGCTTAATCTGCACTGGTCACTCCACTTTATTGTTATTGATATTTATATTTAAAAAGTGCAATACTTTTTTTCTTTTTTCTGCTGCTCATTCCTGTGCAATATCCCATCTGCCCTCCCGTCATATTTCTTTTCAAGATTTTCTTATTTAATCACTAGTGTACATATATTTATATTTATAGATACATATATATTTAGTCATCTTTTCTCTTTTACCACGTCTCTCTAATATTTTGCTCTTTACTATTTTTTTATTATTTTATTTTATTATATTTTCTTCTACTGTACCATGCTGCTGAGTGACTGCTGCTCATCAAACACATTTCATAGCAATGTTGACCCTGTGCTAACTTGCATATGACAAATAAAACTGAAAACTGAAACTGCAAATGTATTACTCCACCACTCAATGTTAATTCAGCGCAGCTGTGGAGTAAACCTAACAGTAGCGATTGTAGCTGCCCACTTGGAATTACCACTCGTGACGCAGAGAGCTTCGACTGATGCAACTTTATTCTCTCCTCTTTAAACCACCGACAATATGGCACCGTGAAAACTATAAAGATGCACAAACAAATACCATTAAACATTTAAGTAAAAAGTGCAGAAATGTTCACATTTTACCATAGAAAATTATTTTGATTAACTCAAATAGTGACATTGACATAAATCAATAGTTTTTAAACTATTTATGTTACAGCATTTAATAAAATGAATTAACGACGACCTTTCTATCTCTTAAATACATAAACAATCATTTGCATTATTAAACCAACCTCTTTCTGCTTCCAAGGGTGCTAATCATGCTGAACCAGCTAGCCAACCTCCTCCATGCACATCTCTTAGCCAGTTCTGAAGTAACGTATTTGTGTTGTTTCGCTGAGAACAGAACAGGAAGTCTGACACGATAAAAGAGGAAGTGCTGAGGTACTTTTCAAAATAAAAGCGCAAAGTAAAGTGGCTTTGCCGGCATTTACAGCGATAATTACCAAATTTTTAGGTTTCTGTAATAGTTAATCTACCAGTGTGTGCAAATGCTCTAATCAAAATAAAATGATTGATGTTGTCATTGAATTTTCGAAGTTACACTTTTACAAAAAGCAGAAAAAAATAGTAAAAGATGCCAAATTAAAGCTATTTATGTTCAGTAATTTCATTCCTGAGCAGAAAAATTAGTGTTGGTGGTTGAATGTTTTGCATCGTTGAATTTGCAACTTCTCAGAGACGTCCGCTGTGCCGGTGTTCTGACAAACCTACTTTGGAAAATCGTCCACCGTACGTAGTTTATGCACATTTCTGCTGTCACACAAGAATTCCAGCAGAAATGTAAGTATGTAGGACGGTTTGCCACTTAACTTTACCCATCAGAGTATGCTTCTAGCTTATATTCACAAAGATAGGATGGTTTGCCACTTAATTTTGTGTTGTGTGCATGCAAAGCACATGCGCAGAAACAACCGCTAGGATGGTTTGTGAGGTAACACCGGCTCAAAAAACATGAATTTAGTTTCTTATTTGCATAATAAATAACAATGTAACTTTTAGTTTTAAACCATTTTTAACAGATTTTTAAAGTATTTGTTTTGTTTTAGCCGGACTAACCAATAATTACAGTTACTCTTACAGAGGCTGACATTTTATAAAGGGTTCAATATTTGTGTCATTTGGTCAAATTCCAAGCTACAGTCGTAAGACACTCTAATGTACACACGGGCCCTGCAGCGTATACCGCTGCCATCTCTATACCGTGATTAATGGCAGTGGCAATATGAAACCCACCACTCCCTAAGTGCTGCCATGGTTTCTTCTCACTGGGTTTGTTTCATCTTTCTAATGTGGTTGGAATACAGATGGTATGAAGTTGAAAGGGAAAACCCATTTGTAGGATCCTTTTAATGAATTGGACTGAATTGGAAACCCCCCAGCTGAGATTCCTTTAAGCAGGAAGGGAAAACGTGCAAATTAAATCAGCGACATGTGTTACACAACGCAGCTTCGCTAAACAACCGTTTCCAAAATTCGAAACCTCATGCTACGTGTAGCTTTTTCTGGTAAAAGGCAATCGTGATTGTAAATGTAATTTACTATCATCTCCCTCTTTATTTCTCTGTCTCACACACGCGCACACACACACACATTCTTTCTCGCATATCTTGTGATCTCTGAGAAGGCTTTTCATTGAGCTCTGGATCACTTCCCAGCCTCCTCAATGGGAAAGAACTGATGTGTGTTAGATCTGACAGATAGTCAAAGGTCCTGTCCATGGAACTGATGCTTGCTAATGGATTTTCCCACAGGGGAAGGTCTGTGTCTTTACAATCGTGTGAATTTACATTTAAGAGGCAGTTTACTGAGTATTGATAAACCCAAGGACCAGGTGATCGTGTAGTTCACCAAAAAACGTAAGACTGCTTAGTAACTTCCTTATCTACACTCACCTGTCAAACATGCCTGAGGTTTCCTCTTGCTGAGTTTGTTTCTCCTGTGTTCTGGTTATCTGATTATGTCTCGATTAGCTAAAAAGCTCCAAGTCGGGGAAAATGACAGACCAGGTGGTGGTTAGGTAGGTGTTGCAGATCAGTCAGGTCACCTAGCGTGACTCTATAATTTCAGACACCAGCCTAGCAGCCAGTGACTGAGAGCGTAATCCTCTTTGCTGTCTGTTAAAATACTTGGACACTGTACAGCTTTACCTGTAAGCAACGTGAAGAACAAGAGTGACAGACTGTGAAAATCTGTGTAGAAGTACTCGCAGTCTTGCTGCGGTTCAGGTCGGTTGCATATGCACCGTTCAGTTAGAGCCAAAAACTTGTGGTGTTTCGTGCAAGCGTGATCATGTCTGAGAACTCACTTGGATCAGTGATGCATTTAACAGCATCTTGTGTCACAAGTAATAAACAACTACGACACAATATATTGCATTGTAAAAATAAATGCATCCGATTAACTTTGCTTCAGTGTTTGCTTCAGCTTATCTCTTTATGAATTGTATCGTGCGGCTAAAACTAGCAGACTGACTATTTGCAATTTCTTATTCAGTAAAATATAAAAACGGCTTTAAGACGACTCACAATCTGCAATGCTTTTGGTGGTTTTTTTTGGATCTAAATTCATGTTTTCTTCCCAAAAACACTGTGCACATTCAATAGAGGTGGGACTCGCCATACATCCCACGATACGATATTATCACAATACTTAACGCACGATACGATATTATTGCAATTTTTTAAAATATTTTGCGATATTCAGATTCTGTACATAAAGGTAAACTTTATCAATATTCATTTTATCTAATATCAAAGTCTCACACTCAGTCTTTCTCTCATTTCAGTTTTATTGTCGACAAACTGAACCGTTTGTATTACAGTCTAGTCCAACTTAACTGAATCAACCATCTGGTACAATTATAGCTATTCTGAACTATGCAGTTTATGAAAACTATGCAGCCCCTTCAGCAACTGAAGAATTTGAAAGTAAATTAAAACAAAATATAATTTTACATTAAATAAAAAAGTTTTAAACTTAATTAAAATAAAACATGTCTTAAATTAAAATAAGTAAACTGTCATGTTTATTGCTGCCAAAAAAACAAGTTAAACACATTTGGACAGTGAAGGAATGTCAGGATTCTTGCTCAGAAAAAGGATCAACATGCTCTGAAGTCAGAGCACAAAAACCTTTTTGTAACAAAATATCGATTTCTGCTGTCCCTGTATCCATACATTATTAGCAAACAAAATATCACCATACTACACAGTATCAATTTTTCCCCCACCCCTAACATTCAAACGGGTTTAGCTACATAACTAATTTCCTTGGCAACAACTGTTGCCATTGCAACAGTCTGAAGCCAGCATCAGGAATGTGCATCTTGTTGCTTGTCGCCCCAAATTTACCCTCACTCCTAAAATCATTGTGCTGCCTTTTTCAAAAACTCCAATAACCCCCCTTTAATATTAAATTTAGTGTTTATTTCAGCATTATGGCTCTTAAAAAGACTACAATGCCCTCTATATCTTTATCAGAAAATAAATGCCCACTCTCTTACTACAGGAGCTGGCTTGATACCCACTCAGAAAGCTTGTCCATCATATCGCTGTGAGTGGCTCCCACAATGAGTTTTGTCTGAGGATAATTGGGTTTGATATAGGCCTGGTGCACAGGCCAAGGTTGTAATATCCTCCAGGTGGCAACACTATAGTGGAGAGATCAAAAATTCATTGTCATGACTCAAAATCTCATAAACATCTGATACGCTATATGAGTCAGTGTGAAAGAAATATGGAAGCTTCACTGTTAAATTAATAGTAAAGGCCTCTCTAAATCCATCACACCATCACTGTTAAACTGTATCCCACGACCATGAGCTGCATTTATGTGGGCGTGTGCGCGATAGCATTACCGAGTCAGCCTTGTGGCGCGGCTGATTGAGTTAACATATTTGGAAGAAATCTTTTACATTCAGGCGTAGAGGCCAGATAATGTGTTGAGCATGTGGACGCTGAAACTCTAGCGGTGTTCGATGATTTAAGTGGAAAAGCTAGCATGACACCGGCACCACTTTCACACACAAAAGCCTGTATTTGACACAGTATTATAAATGCACTCATCTGTTTTGTATGTGCACCATTAAGAGTAGAGAATGGTTTCACCTCAGTGGCACTTATATTAAACCTGATATAGAACCAACAGTGGGCATTTGCTGAAAAGATTTGTGAAGCTGCAGGTTAGTAATGGTTGTTCCCACAGTGCTTATAATGCGTTGTCTTTAAAGGGGAACTACCTGGATAGAACATGAATTTCTTGTGTGATAATGGTGATTTCTTTGTATTGCTCTTATTGTTTTTCCTTTTTGTATTTCTTTTACAGAGCAAAGAAATAGCCTTTCAGCTCCAGGAAGACTTAATGAAAGTCCTCAATGAGCTATACACAGTAAGTAGTAACGACTGCTATTTTTCACTAATGCACTTGAATACATTCATCTTGGCTGTGGTTAAGGCTAGTTTATAGCATTGAGCTCAGTAATGTCTTACGGTCTGTAACAGCTTGATGTTTTTAACCCTGAAACTGGAAGATATCTGATGGATTCTAAATTAAACATTCAAGCAAATGTATTGCAAACAAAGTACAGGAAAAGTCACATTTCTTTGCACCACAAAAGCATAAAACTGTCTCCATTACTCTCATAAATCAGCCATTCAAAGCTACAAAGTTTCATCTCTGTGTTTGCTTGACTCATTACAGTTCATATTCTGTTTCTAATAGCTTTCATCAACTCGGTTTTTTTTTTGCTCTTGAAAACGACTCATGCAAAGTCACACTGGGAGGTCTGAGCCAAATAGCAACTTGCTCCCTATCAGTCTTTATTTCTTTCCGTAGCTGACATCAGAGACAGACAGAAAACCTGGGAAAAGTCCAGGTTGCATTACACGCAACAAAGTTCTACATTCAAAATGAGAACCATTGTAATTATGCTATATGTGCCCAAGACGACTAGCTTGCAGGTTGCAAGAAACCAAACCGTGGCTCTGAACCTGTCAACTCACAGGTTAAAATTTCACCCCAGTAGGTCAGTGAAATTTTACCAAGCTGGTGCATCACACAGGCTGCACATGTGCAGTGCAGTTCCTAACGCTTTTCATTTGTATTGTTAGCAGCCTCTGTGTACCTTTGACCCTGCTAGTTACTGCCTTAGCTTGACTATCAGCTCTGCTAGTCCTTGTATTCAATGCCTCACAGAAGCCATGGATATGCAAACTCCAGCAAACCCTTTAAAAAGTAAAATGAAAGGATCAAGTTAATGTTTGATATTAAATATTGTGTAGCTTATGTACTGTAGCCTATGTATAGCGTGAGTAGTAGAGGTGGGAATCACCATACATCCCACGATACGATATTATCACAATACTTAACGCACGATACGATATTATTGCAATTTCTTTAAAATATTTTGCGATATTCAGATTCTGTACATAAAGGTAAACTTTATCAATATTCATTTTATCTAATATCAAAGTCTCACACTCAGTCTTTCTCTCATTTCAGTTTTATTGTTGACAAACTGAACGGTTTGTATTACAGTCTAGTCCAACTTAACTGAATCAACCATCTGGTACAATTATAGCTATTCTGAACTATGCAGTTTATGAAAACTATGCAGCCCCTTCAGCAACTGAAGAATTTGAAAGTAAATTAAAACAAAATATAATTTTACATTAAATAAAAAAGTTTTAAACTTAATTAAAATAAAACATGTCTTAAATTAAAATAAGTAAACTGTCATGTTTATTGCTGCCATAAACAAGTTAAACACATTTGGACAGTGAAGGAATGTCAGGATTCTTGCTCAGAAAAAGGATCAACATGCTCTGAAGTCAGAGCACAAAAACCTTTTTTGTAACAAAATATCGATTTCTGCTGTCCCTGTATCGATACATTATTAGCAAACAAAATATCACGATACTACACAGTATCGATTTTTTCCCCCACCCCTAGTGAGTAGCATTTTATAAATAACAACAAAGCTAAGGTTTAAAGCTTATGAAATGGAATTCAGTATCACTGTTCATGTGTGTGATTTTGTGTTTTTAGTTGCTTTCCTGACGCATCGTCACCTATTGACATGTACGGCGATGTAGCAACAAGTCAAATCAGTTGTTCTGCCTTCCCAGAACATTCACTGAAGAGCAGTTCAGTTTGCTTATAGAGTCTCCAGTTACTCGCCATGAAGGACTGAAGTTGGTTACACTTCCCCTGTGTGTAAAGGGGGCAGACCAGCCCTCGCTCCTCCAAACACAACAACGTGTTACTCTAGAGCTTAATGTGTGTCACTCTCACCACAGTCCACGCTGTAGATTTGGCCTGCTTTAACCCCAGTAGGAGGACACACGTGAGCACACACGCACGCGCGCACACGGGGTAGCTGTTGCATCAGACAGCCGCAGTCCCAGTGTCGGCCACCGCCGCTGAAATAACAGGTCTCGTCCGTGTCTAAATGTGTCCCTCTAAAAAAAAGCGGTAAAGTAAACACAGCAGTGGCAGACTCCAGACCATTAAGTGAGGAGTACGCGGACCAAGGTCAGTCACCCATCTCTAAACTGGTTCCAGTTAAGCCAACCCCACCAAAGACGAAGGGCTCCAGACAAACCAGGCTTTGCTCTGTTGTTCCACTCGTACAGAAATAACTCACATTGGGGGAAAGATGTTTAGATTTTGAATGGGTGAGTCTCTATTTGTACTGAAGCTGAGGTTTTGTGCAGACAAATGTATTTCATACACAGGTTGTGGAGCTGTAATTTGCCGGAGTCGGTTCATTCCAGGTTAAACCGCTCTGTGCTCTATATTGCTGCCTTGGACGTTTGGATATAATTTTTGTCCTTCTACTTAGTTCAGTAGTTTTGGCCGACCGCCACGAACCATCAGCTCAGATCTCATTTCCTCTCCTCGTCATTTTCACCTGTTTTGTTTCTCTTCCTCCAAATGCTTCCCTAATGTCTTCATTTTCATGGATGTCTGGGGTTGAGTGGCCTATTCTGCTTTCAGACTTCACAATGACATCATGAATTTGTTTCAGTTTTCCTCTTACCATGCCACTGAGTCATCATTATTTTCCTATGAGTCTGTTTATCATCTATGTTAATAAGACTTTATCAGCTCTCAGCTCTCTTGTAAAGTTTGGAAAGTTCATTATTTGTATTTCGTAGTTAACCCGCTACTTGCAGCTGAGTCACTGCCTAATGGATCCATGGAGTACTGTGAGGGACGCAGGAGGATGATTCAGGCTTTAGGAAGTAGCTCTAATCAGCAGGTCACTATCAGCGTAATAAACTTCTGCTGTGTTACATTGTTACAGTGTGAAGGCAAAACGGTGAATGACTTCAGCTTAAATGCGATTATAGCTTTAAGAAAAAGACACATTTTTGAAGTTTATGCTACATGACAAATGGACATGAAGCCAGAGCCAAATACCATCTCAGTAAAAAGCTGAATTGAAAGTCTAAAAATAGTCCTCTTGATAACTTCCTAAGTGCATCGTTTTATTTTTTTGGCCTGTGTGGTTTGTGTACTTAACTGCCCCTTAAAAACAAAAAAGACTCTTTGATTTGTGGTTCAGCACAAGAAGAACTGTGAGCGATGAGTGCTTTGATAGGAGTTGAATCGATAGGTGATAAATGAGTGAGTCAGAAGATGGAAGCCTTATTTGCGGGTTAGGTCACGATTAAGACGATGGATTATTCTGATCTTTGACCCCACCGGCTGCTGTCTTTTTTTGTTTTTTCTGGTCTTGAGATAAAATAATGCCTTTTCCTTCCCGTCCAGGTGATGAAGACGTATCACATGTACCACTCGGAGAGCATCAGCGCTGAGAGCAAGCTGAAGGAGGCTGAGAAGCAAGAAGAAAAGCAGATTGGCAGGGCTGATCCTGTCTTCAGCATTCGAATGGAGGAAAAATACCCGAGGCGCAGCTCTGTGAAGAAAATTGAGAAGATGAAAGAGAAGGTAAGATGCCAGGTGTTAAAGGCAGTAAAAGCCAGTAGTTGCGCCATAAAAGACAAAAAAATAACTGTTCAGTATTGAAAAAGAAACTGCAGTTAAGGAAAAGACTCACACAGGCTTTGTTTTCTTAGAACAGGCCTGTTGTCTGTTAAATCTCTGTGGCAAATGATTAAAGTCCAGGCAACTGATTCTTTTTACAACACAAGTTTTCCAGGAATGCTTTTGGGAAGTCTTAAAATATGGGTGATCTGGAGTATGTGAATCAGAGCCTAGTACAGCGGTCAGCGTGTGTTGACTAACAGCCTCATGCTTGTCTGCTGAAGAGGAAGTGCAAGTTAAAAACTTCTGTCCCACGCTGAGGTGTCCAAGTTGAAACCAAGGCCACAGCCTGGTTTTAGTTTATTTTTGTTTTTTTCCATACTTGGTCCTTTTCATGCCAGACTGTAACTTATTTCTCCTCTACTGTTGCCTAAAATGTTTTGTTTTGACAGTAATCTAGTCCCAGCACTGTGACTCGCTGTGCGTGCGGAGACATGAAAGCATAATCACTTGTCAAAAGGCAAATCTTCACTCATTAAATTCACCCCGTCTCGCTCGCTCTGTTGTCGTCTGTTTCTCATTCTTGCTTCTAATTCTCTCATCAGCGTCAAGCCAAGTACTCCGAGAACAAGCTGAAGTCGATCAAAGCGCGGAACGAGTACCTGCTGACGCTGGAAGCGACAAACTCATCCGTTTACAAATACTACATCCACGACTTGTCGGACTTAATTGATGTAAGTATGAAACCACGGGATTTTGGCAGTCGTGTTGTGAGCCAGCTTCTTCTTCTTCTGCACACACTTTTTTT